CTCTGGCTCCCCCTCATCCCCTCCAGCTCTCCCTCCCCCTCTCCCACCGACCTCTACCTTCCCCTGCACCCCCCCTCCTGGCAGTAGAGAGGAAAATTACATTAACTGCGTGTCGGCTGTGGATCCAGCCGGAGTGACTGTAACTGACCAGAACGTCCTGAATGCGGCTGCTTTGGCACACCCTCGCCCCCTCCTGCTCCCTCTCCCACCGACCCCTACTTTCCCCTGGCCCCCCCCCTCCTGGCAGTAGAGAGGAAAGTTACATTAACTGCGCGTCGGCTGTGAATCCAGCCGCAGTTAATCAATTACTCTAACAACTTGAAGCAGCTGCCGGAGCACTTCCGGGTTGCAGTTGGTGCCGGACCATCAGGCGTACCGGACCACTGGATGCCGGACCACCGGAGTTTTACTGTATCTGCATTGATAGGCTGAGGTCTGGAGGTCATGATAATGTGATGATTTTCAGGACTCAAAGGCAAAAAACAGAGTTCTCTAAACAAGAGCAAGAAGCCAGTATTTCAGTATGGTTTGTACTTCCTATATTAGGGCCAGGGAAGATGATCTGAGCTGGAATGCAAAATGGAAGGAGAAAGGGCACAGGCCAGTCCTCACTGTTTTGTCCATCAGTTAGGCCTAAGGTCTGCCACTCCAACCTTGGTTCATTAATTTCTGGTTCCACATGGCCAGTTTTTACCAAGCATGATTTCACCATAGTCCTTGAGTCATATCCACTTGGGCTTTTTGTTTAGACTAATTTAGTCTTTATGTCAGGTTCTCTTTCACGTCTTTGTAACATTCACTATGGAAAGCAATGTGACTTACTTTCCTTACTTTATTACACTTGTTCTTATAGGTTATTGCAATGTCTTATTATCGTGCATATTATTTTCCTAGCTGAGATCACAATCAGGGTACATTATTAGTCCCAATTATTACAAACAGGACAGATTGCAGCACCACACTAACCTGGGCACGGATGGATTTTGTAACCCAGGACATTAATTCTAGTTCCTCACTTCTCTGATCCTCTAGGCAGATTTACGGGCAGGTATATTAACCGTTCAATGGCCAGAGTACATTCATTTGACAGTCACACTTGCATGTATGAGTAGAGCTTTCTGTCTGAGGATCTCAAAGTGCTTTTCAACTATTAATTCACCCTCTCACCTCTGAGGAAGGCACATATTACAATCCCCATTTCACAACGGAGGATACAGGTTAGCCAAGATCAGACATCAAGTCAGAGGCAAAGCCCACTACATAGCTCACTGATTCCTGCCTCTCTGTCTCTGGACAACTCTCTCTCCATCAGTCTGGGAGTTAACATCTGCTTCTGTACAGAACTCACAGGTTATCTGCCTTTAGAAATTAGTAGCATCAAGGGGCAATAGAAGAGAAGCATTTGCATTTTGGAATGCAATAAAATAATCAGTTCAGAAAAATTGGACCAAAAAGAAAAAAAAAAGAAGAAGAAGAAGAGGGAACATACTTTTTAAATGTCCACTACATTCACAAAACTTTTTTGAGTTTCTGAGAGGGATATTTTCTTTATTTACACTTGATTCTACCCTAGATTTCTTTTTGTTTTATGTGAAATTGCCAGTTTCTAAAAGGCTGTAATTCAGGTACTGGAGTGGAAATTTTGAGCACAGAGATTCTCTACACCAACAGCTAATAGCTCTTCAGTCCAACAAACTTGCTTTTTCATTTTATTTGATGTTATAAATTTCAGGGCCTAAAATCATTTCACTTCTAAAAATGCTTTGTTTGATTGTCCCATAGCCCATAGGCACCAATTCCGTGGGGGGCTCTGGGGCTGTCGCACCTATGGAAAACCATTAGTGGATTCACCTCTTCCTTCCCTTCTCCCCTCCAGCACCTCCCATCCACAGGTAGCCCCACTGACCAACTAACTACCCACTACCTGGTTGCAATCAGCTGTTTTGTGGCATGCAGGAGAGAGGGGGATGGAGCATGCTCTGGGTGGTGGTAGTAGTAAGAGGCGAGGTAGGGGTAGGAACAGGCAGGTGGAGTATAGACTTGGGACAAGGGGTGGGAGCTTAGGCAGAGCAGGGCCAGAAAGAGGTGAGAATGGGGTGGGGACTAAGAGAAAGGAGTCAGGTAGGGGCTGAGCCTGGGACGAAGTAGGGGGTGGAGCACTCTCTGAGCCTGGAGAGAGCCAGCATCTGTGCCATATCCCAGTAATCATGTCTGTAGTAAGCTGTACTGGACTAAGACTGCATAGAACAGTGGTCCCCAACCTTTTGAGGTTGTCGGGCACCAGGGGGCGTGGCTGTTCGCCCGCTGGGCGCCAGGGGGCGGGGACATTTGCGTGCCCGGGGGCAGGGCGCCCGGGGGCAACCCCCCCCCCATAGCCGCATGCAGGGGGCATGGCCGTTTGCCCGCCGGGCGCCAGGGGGCGGGGACACTTGCACGCCCGGGGGCGGCCCCCCCCCATAGCCACGCGCCTAGGGCCGGTGCCCCCTCCAAGGGCTGCGTGCCCGGGGCCGGCGCTCCCCCCGCAAGCGCCGCGCACCCGGGGCCAGGCCAGCCCCGAGCACCTGGCGGGCGCATGCAAATGACCCCGTGGGCGCCATGGCGCCCATGGGCACCGTGTTGGGGACCACGGGCATAGAATTTAAACCCATAGATTCCTACATTTAAAGGCCAGAAGGGACCACTTTGATAATTTACTTTTATCTGGATAACACAGACCACAGAATTTCATCCAGTTGCTCCTATAATGAGCTCAATGACTTGTGTTGAGTCCAATCATGTTAGCTACTATTTAGTTAGTTCTCACTGTTGTGTCTGTTAGCTGTTGACTGGATTCTGGAGCTGCTCCCCCTGTAGAACTCCCATGCAAAATAGCACGGAGAGTTTGGCAAACTGGGTGTTTAATCTGCAGATTACGTACCAGACAAGAGGACTCTGAGGTGCTTACTATGGTAAGGGTGGCAAAAAAGTAACTTTCACAGATAAATAGGAGGAACCAGAAAAGACCCTATGGGTCATTAATTCTGACACCACCCACTATGCACTTTGCAGGACTCACTACCTCAAGTTCCTCTATCCTGCCCTTGAATTGCTGTTGTGATGGTACCATTGCCATCTCTTTTGGGAATTCATTTTATTGCCCTCTCATTCTTAGCATTAAGAACTTTTTCTCCTATTTGCCTTTCACCGCTTCTCTAGGTTAGGCCACTGCTCCTTGTCCTACTGCCTTCTGAAACCAAACAGTTATTTTTTAAAATCTGATTACAATATAAACATCCATATACAATACATACCCCATTTAGCCACATTTTGATTCTTTGCATCTCTGCACTATTGTTGTCCTTCCAGTCCTTGTATCACTTCCACTTCCCTTCTTTATATTTTCTTTCTATCTATCTATCTATCTATCTATCTATCTATCTATCTATCTATCTATCTATCTATCTATCTATCTATCTATCTATCTATCTATCTATCTATCTATCTAGCCTGTGTAGAAAAGCACTTTGGTTTCCTTTAGCTTTAAACATGAGGATTTGAGTGGAATTACAGCCTAGAATTGCTGTCTGGAATTAAATGAAGAATGTCAAAGTAAAATACCCTCAACAAAAACAATACATCAGCTATATTATGGACAAGTTAGATGAGGAAAATAGGTTTGTGTCCTAAAACGTGTTATTTAACCTGCGTTAGATAGATAACATGTTCTGAAATTTAAAAAATAACAAATAGTCTGGTAGCACTCTAAAGACTAACAAAACATGTAGCTATATCATGAGTTTTCGTGGGCACAACCCACTTCTTCAGATGACTGGAGTGTTGTATGTCCAGAATCAAAATAAATAGGGGAGAAGGGAGAGGATGGTATGGGGGATGGAAAGGAAAAAAATGGGAGGGGGGAAACAAAAGGAGGCGGAGGGTGTATAAATAGCAAAGGGAAAACGGAGCTGGTATGTAACAGGCAAAACTGATAGGCTGTGTCTACATTTTGCACAAATCTTGCCACCTGTCTACACTGGCCGTGAGTACTTGTGCAAGAACACTGACGTTCTAATGTATAAAATCAGTGCTTCTTGCGCAAATACTCTGACGCTCCCACTCAGGGATAAGCCCTCTTGCGCAACTGTTCTTGTGCAAGAGGCCAGTGTAGACGGGCAACATTAATTTCTTGTGCAAGAAAGCCCGATGGCTAAAATGGCCATCGGCGCTTTCTTACGCAAGAGAGTTTCTACACTGGTACAGATGCTTTTGCGCAAAAGCACATCTCTTGCACAAAGGCACATGCCAGTGTAGACGCTTTCTTGCACAAATACTTTAACGCAAAAACTCTTGCATTAAAAGTATTTGCGCAAAATCATGACAGTGTAGACGTAGCCATAGTCTATAAGCATCTAAAAACTGGATAGTTAAAAGGAGCACATAAGGACCATTAGTTAGCAATTAGAGAGGAAGAGTTTTAACACCAGAATCTACACAGACAAAGAACCATTGGCACCTTCATTGTTTGTTTGGTTGATAACATCCCAGCCATCCAGTATCTTGATTCAAACCATTGGCATGAGAATTAAACTTGTGAATGAATTGTAGTTCCAACCCTTCCCTCTGTATTTGGCTTGTGGAATTGGTCTGTTCTGAAACGTCACTTAGCAACCAGTGGAAACAAGGGCAGTGATGTTTAAAAATATGTTAGCTGGCTATGATCTACAGTAGGCTCTAAGTAGGTCCTTTTCTACATTGGCCAGTCACACTTTGTTAAGGCTTGTTTATATAGGATCGTTTTACCAGTTATACTAGGATAAATATACTGGATAGTTATTCACAACAGTTATATCAGTATAAATCCCTGTGTGGAAGGGACGATCATACGGCCTTGTCCCTGCTCCTCCTTTTCCATAGAAGCCCTGACACCCTGGCTAAGCGTAAAGCCAAAGCCTGCCAGGGGTGGGGGAGCCTGAGAGCAGCTCTCAGCCTGTGTCCCTGCCCCTAGATTCCCTGTTTGGGGCAGGTGGAGGGTTCTTGGCCCCCCACAACTGCCCAAAGTTCTGGCTTCTGGCCTGGGGGCAGGGATGCTGAGCAAATTAGTGAAGACTTGAATAGAGCTGTTCTTCTTTGTGAGGCTTTGAGAAGCACTCAGGTACCTAGACGTCCTTTGCTTTCCCGAACATGCTCCAGCACATTATCCACAATCTACAACCCATCTTGGAAAATGATCCCTCACTCTCAGAGGCCTTGGGGGAAAAGCCTATTCTCGCTTACAGACAACCCCCCAACCTGAAACGAATTCCTGTAACCATGCTACACAACCACATCATAGGCATCCAGGAACCCAGCCCTGCAATCAGCTGCGGTGCCAACTCTTCCCACATATCTATACAAGTGAAATCATCACTGGAGCCAACAACATAAGCTACCAAATCAGAGGATCATTCAAGTGCACATGCAGCAATTTGATCTATGCCAACAATGCCCCACTGCTATACATATTGGACAAAGTGGACAGTCCCTACTGGAAAGAATCAATGGACACAAATCAGATACACGTAAAGGGAAAATACAGAAACATGTTGGAGAACACTTCAGTCTACCTAATCACTCTTTAAAAGATCTCCAGGTGGCTGTCTTGTCACAAACCAATTCTACAAGCCAAATACACAGAGAGGCTTTGAAATTACAATTCATCCACAAATTCAATTCCTCCACTGATAATTGAGATAA